TTCTGGCTTCGTAAGTGCAGCCAGGTCCTTCAACTCTGCCACTGCAAGCCTTCCTGTGTCCATTGTCTATTGCCTAAGTGTGGATCTCAAAACAGCACAACATACAGATGGTGCAGCTGGCTTGGCAGATGTGGATCGAAGCCATCTGCAGAATTTCACAAATGAATCTTTGATTCAATTTGTTGCAGATATATAAAGGTAACAGTGCACTATCTTAATGCATTTTTTTAAGGGTTACCTTTCTCATCTAGAAAGTCATTTGGGATTACTTAAGGCAATCTCAGTTTTATAGCACAGCTGAAAACCACATGGAGAATCTCTACACAAAAGTGTAGAATAAAAACAACTTTTAAAGCTTAGGTTTCTTGATCAAACTTGTAGAAATGGATAGCTTCTTGGCTCTTGTGCCTACTACCATGTTTTGATCCAGTGATATTTTAACTCTTTAGTGTGGGGCTAGATGCCATGGATTGTCTGAAGCACAGTTCTCTGTGAGTGGCATCCTACTTCTTCAGTGCTATGCATCAACATCAGTTTCCTTTGTTCTTTTCATTTTCACCTTGCCTCTTATTTCCTTCTCCTCCTGACCCCAAGTTTACCCCCTTGAGCTTATTCCAGTAGATGTGTTTCAGCTCTTTGGTGTTTCATAACAAAATACCCCACAATTTATTGCCTTAAAACTATTTATTTATTTATTGTTTATTTATCTGACAGGTAGAGTTATAGACAGTGAGAGAGAGAGACAGAGAGAAAGGTCTTCCCTCCATTGGTTCACTACCCAAATGGCCGTCACAGATGGCGCTGCGCTGATCTGAAGTCAGGAGCCAAGTGCTTCCTTCTGGTCTCTCTATATGGGTGCAGGGGCCCAAGCACTTGGGCCATCCTCCACTGCCCTCCTGGGCCACAGCAGAGAGCTAGACAGGAAGAGGAGCAACCGGGACTAGAACCAGCACCCACACGGGGTGCTGGTGCCGCAGGCGGAGGACCAACCAAGTGAGCCATGGCGTTTTAAAACAATTTTTAAAGAATCATTTTTCACTATTCTGTGGGTCCAGAATTCAGAAAGGCAACAGCAAGGGTGGTCTCTGCTGCATATCATGCCTGCCAGGCCTAGAACATTCAAAGGGGATTCCTTGATTCCATGTCCAGTGCCTCCACTAGGAAGTCTACAACAGTGGGGGCAGGTTTGGGTGGTTCTTCTGGGTCAGAGGTTTAATGCATTCATGCCTCCTATTGGCTGGGTTCCTCAATTCTTCTTTATGTAATCAGACCTCTCTTTCTCTCACCGTACGTGATGTCTTCATGAGGACTCTGTATCTATTGTCTACAGTGGAGAGCCAGACTTGTAGCTTAGAGCTCCAAAGAGTGAAAATGCTGACGCTGCCAAGGTTTCTGCCTTATTCTATTTGTCAAAACAGGTCACTGGACCAACTCAGATTCAAGGGGAAGATACTATTTTAGGACTACTTTGGGAGTCATTGAAGAACCAGGGCACTACAATGTATAATATCAGCAACCAAAGCATGTTTGTGTCCAGACATTTTATGCATATGTATGCTGCATAATTGATGAAAGTTTTTTCTCCATTTTCCTTGAGTCAGACTAGAACCTTATTTCAATTGCCAATACTCAGATGTAAAATAGTTATCTCAGATATAATTTTAATCTTGCCATTATTGCTTCTTTGAGTTAGGTTAGATTTGTAATAATTTTCTTCAAAGCTTAATGCATAAATTAGAGAGCAACGAGTTGTGCCCTATCTTCAAAATAAAAGTAAGATCAGAACAAAGTGAAAATAAATTTCTAAGTAAAATAATAGGAAAACACTACAGGTTGATCTTTTTTCTTAAATCAACATTCTTGACATATAACCTATATAATTTAAGGCATAATTAAGGTAAAGGCAATGCATAGATTTTAAGGGTTTTTTTCCCCTGAGTTTTGACTATATCATATGCCCATATAAGTACTCTTCAAAATAAGACATAAATCATTTCTATCAGTCTAGAAGGTGCTCTTCTGACCCCTGCCTGAACAATTCTCATCTTGCAGGGATTCGGCTTGACTTGACTGCAGCCATTTTGGATGTAACTGCCATCATGCCCTTAGGTAACTCTGGAAGTATCTCAAGCCCCATCATAGGGTAAATAAAGACATAAAAATGATGTGTGAAGTAAGCGAGTGCCTCTTGTTGGTTAGTGAGTTTATAATTTTAAACATGGCAACTTAAAGTCTTGTCATCCACAGTTTTTTATAGGTTCTGACGGACTTTTCCCAGCCACTTCTATTGTATTCAGTATTTGGGATGGCTCTGTGAACAGATGAAGCCAATAATGTACTAAAGGTTCCAACTGGAAGAAAGTATGGTTAATTGAAGTTACTAAGAGCAAGAAGCAGGTCAGCACTGCAGCTCAATAGGCTAATCCTCCACCTGCGGTGCCGGCACACTGGGTTCTAGTCCCGGTCAGGGCGCCGGATTCTGTCCTGGTTACCCCTCTTCCAGGGCAGCTCTCTACTGTGGCCCATGAGTGCAGAGGAGGATGGCCCAAGTCCTTGGGCCCTGCACCCCAGGAGAAGCACCTGGCTCCTGCCTTCGGATCAGGGCCGTGTGCCAGCTGCAGTGTGCCGACCACAGTGGCCATTGGAGGGTGAACCAACGGCAAAGGAAGACCTTTCTCTCTCTCTCTCACTGTCCACTCTGCCTGTCAAAAAAAAAAAAAAAAAAAAAAAAGAGCAGAAAGTAATTATTTGAATCAATTGGTACTTTAAAAAACAGAGTTTAAGAAGCTATTACTGAAACTGCTTTATTGTTCTATCTTGTATGTTATGTTACATGTGTGTGCATATTGTATATCTACATGGGAAAATTTATCAAAAACTGTTTTAATTGGCTTATACATAAAATATTTCTTATAAATTTAAACTTTTAAAATTAATTAAAAATACATTTTGATTCATGTGACCTGAATCTCTGTATCAGATATTTTAAATTTGTTGGTAGAAAGAAACTAAAACGTTTTTATATGTTTGTGCTTGAGTTTGCTGGTTTAACAAGCTACACCATGTTAGATATTTAAAAGATGTTTCCAAATACATGTTTTCCAAATAAATTCTTAAAATTTATGGAAGGCATTGGACCTTCCAGTAAATGTTTTCCTCAGTTGTTATCTAATGGTTGAAATTGCTTGCTAAGTTTTCATTTGATATTGCTATTGTTAGTGATCTGGGACTTACCCCCTCATTTCTCTATTCTAAATCCCACTTTTTCCCTCATTTCTCTATTCTCTTTGTGGTAGGAAACTAATTCTATTCTGAAGGTCTCTCCAAGATGCACGATTTGATTTTTAGATCTTATAAAAGGGCTGGCTAACATTTTCTTTAATAGCATAGCCAAAATGAGAGATTAAATTATAATTTCACAGCTAGATTTACTTTGCCATGGGCACGGTAAACAGGCAAAACCTCCCTTTCAGACCAAAAAAAGGGAGAGAAAGTTTTAACGTGAGGACATAGCTTTCCTCATGGGCATTGTCTACCTCAGAAAAAACCACTACCAGAATATGCCTGTGAATATAGACTTCTGGTTTAGGCCACCTAAGATCAGACATAGGACTTGAGAACCCCCTTGACTTGCATCCTCTGGTCTGCTTCAACTACAACCAGGAGGAAAAGAAAGCTAGGCATCAGAAGCAATGTAAAGATAGGTGGCAGCCTATTAAAGGCTGCTCTGTACAGTGATCTGCCCTCAGGGAAACCCAACAGGCCAGTCCACTGCAGTGGCTTTCAATGTGGAAAGCCAGGGCTTCAGCAGAAGTCAGCTTATGAAGAGCCCTGGCAGCTATGCCAGTCAAGAGTTGGATTGCTGGAAATGGAACTGCCCTGGAGTCGAAAAACGCCCAGGTCAGAGCCACAGATCTTGCTGGCTCTAAACTGAAAAGCCCTTCACTCGGCCCAGCTTCCAAAGTAACCACCGCTGCTGAGGGGACAGCCAATTAGGATCAGTAACATTGCAGGGAGAACTGTAAATTTCCTGTTAGCTGCTTTCACCTGGCCAGCTCTCCTCCCAGGCCAGCTAGGTAATGGAAGTTAACAGGGTGACTTCCCTAAGGAGGTTCACACCTCCCTTAAGATGCACCCCATGTGAAGAGATAAGTCTGGGCCTCATAACTGACAAGGCCTTAAAGCTCACCTGATTATTGTCAGGCCCCTTCTGTCAGTTTCTATTTGCCTCTCAATCAAAACTTAGTCATGGTTTAGACAGCAGCTCTCTTAGGTTCTCCAATAGTGACTCTGTCTTCTGTTCTAGACCCTATCTAGCGCATCTGGGGCCTCATTTCTTTGTAATCATAGCCAGTCTACTCTAACATCAATGGCTCTACTCCCGAACTGTGTGTATTGATGGTCCTCTCCCCCACTTAATGTTATATGATTGTTCAGAATTTCTCTACAGACAAACCCCCTCTACCCTCAAAAGATGAGTGGCCTTTTTCCCAGTCTTTGTTGAGATCAGCTTTAAACCATGTCCATCAAACAGCCTTCACAAGGGTCCAAAGACCCCCCTCATTTCCTCTCCTCTGTGAAATCCTCTCACTACCTGGTTAATGCCACTCTTAGGATCATTGGTTGCTATTCTCACCCTGTCTTTTATACTACCGTGTCTGTTTAAGTGTTTGCAGGAATTGATAATGGAATGAACCAAGGCCTTCACCAGCCAGGTAATCAACCAAATGCTGCTACTGGGATATACTCAGCTCCCCACCCAGGAGACAGCAGCTTGAGACATCACCCCATTCCAGCAGAGAGTACCTCGTTGCCCCATGTTATCAGGAAGTAGCTCTAAAGACAGATCATCATTCCTCTACCCGTCCTGGACTTTTGAGGCTAATATAATCCCATACAGCTCTTGCTTTATAAAAAACAAAAGGGGAGAATGTTAGTAAAATGGCACAGTCTTATCTATGGCATGATCTATACCCCAGGCATAATCCTAGGTTCTTGTCCCCACCGCCATGGCTGGAAGCCAGGTGACCCTATGGCCCAACCACCATGTCAGTTCCACCCCCACTCCCACCCTAATGGGATTTGCTCCTTTTTCCCTGCCCATCCCCTCCCCTGCAAATGTTTAAGAAGACCTGTTCCTGAACAGGTTATCTCTCAAGATAACCTCTTGGATATTTATTGACAGACTAGACCCTCGAATGTCTTTCATCTAACACTTGGATTGTTAATATTGCTTGAGAAAGTCCAGGTGCACTTAGGATAGCTGGGGGCCACTTTTGTCTAAAATATAAACCCCTTACTACTTACTAGTGTGGAAGGATCCAGTTTCTTTTTACTGTCTGAGACTATGTGTCTGTCCATAAGTCCTATCAATAAATTACATTCTCTGTAGTCTTGGATTTGTCCTCTTTCTTCAGTTTCATGGTACCTACAGTGCTCATGGTGGATTAACCCATACATGAGCTCTCCCTGCCACAGTGAGATGATCCTTACTGAAAAGGAACAAACTTTTCTAAGCCAGAAGAGGAAGGGGCTCAGATGAAAATGATATCCCAGAAGAAACTGAAGTAACCAACATTTATGACTTGGGAATAAATTATGCATAAAACAAATGCAAATGAAAAGAAACAAATTACATCTGTTTATTTTTATTTCTCTTTCCTGCCATCTTGAATATTTTCAATACTCCAACTATTTTTCTGCTCTGTTGTCTTTTTAACTATATATTGGTGTCTGTTTAATATTTAACCTCATTTTGGGGATGAAAACTAAAATTTATTTATTTTTCTGTCTCATTAAAGATTTATTTATTTGAAAGGCAGAGTTACTGAGAGAGAAGGAGTAAGAGATCAGGGTTGGGGGTAAGTTCCACCTGTTGGTTCACTCCCCAAATGGCCATAATAACCAAGGCTGGACCAGGCTGAAGTCAGGAATCACGAACTCCATCCAGGTTTCCCATGTAGGTTTGCAGGCCTCAAGCACTTGAGCCATCATCCACTGTGTCTCACATGCATTAACAAGAAGTTGGATCAGAAGTGAAATAGTTGGGACTCAGTCCAAGCTCTCTGATATGGGATGCAGGTATCCTTAGTGGCAGCCTAATTTGCTACACTTCTTTCTTTCTTTTTAAAAATATCATGATGTCATTTTAAAATTTTTTTAAATTCATCTTCATTTTATTGGAGAGAGAGAGAGAGAGGAGAGACAGAGAGAGCGAGCTTTCGTTTCCTGGTTCACTCCCCAAATGCCCACAATAGCAACAGCTGATCCAGGCTGAAGTCAAGGGTCTGGAGCTCAGTCTGAGCCTTCTGTGTGGATGGAAGTACTTGAGTTATCATTGCTTACTCCCAGAGTGCACTTTAGAAGGAAACTGACTAAGAAGTGGAAGAGCTGGGACTCAAGCCAGGCACTCCAAAATCAGAAGCAGGCATTCTCAGTGGCATCTTTAATCACTGTGCTAAACATCCATTTCTTATTTTTCTTTTAAATAAACAGGCTTTTCTTTTGAGAACATATAAAAACTGAGCAGGAAGTACAGAGTTCCCTGTCCCTTCCACTCTTCGCACACGTGGTCTCCCCTGACTTCAGCGTCCCACAGCATCGTGGTATGTTTGCTAAAGTTGATGAACCTACGCTGACACATAATTATCATTCCAAATCCATAGATTACATTAAGGCCACTCTTGGTGTTATACATTCTATCTGTTTTGACAAATGTATAGTGCCATGTATCCACCATTACAGTGTCATATGGAATGGTTTCACTGCCCTAAAACCCCTCTGTGCTCCACATTGTCATCTTGCTCTTCTCCCTAATCTGTGGCAACCACTGATGATTTTATGGTCTCCACAGTTTTCCTTTTTCCAAAATGTCATACAGTTGGCTTTTCAGATTGGCTCCTTTCATTTAGTAAAATTTATTTAAGTTTCATGCACATCTTCTCATGGCTTCATAGCTTGTTTATTTTTAGCACTCAATAAAGTTCTATTTTCTGGATGTCTCACAATTTATCCATTTGCCTAGTATCTTACTTGGCTGGGCCTGCTGTAACAAATGAGCTCATACTGGGTTGCTTAAAAAACAGAATTTATTTTCTCAGTTATAAAGGCTAGAAGTGCTAGATCAAGGTCCAGCAGAGTGCAATTTTTGCTGAAAGCATTTTTCTTGGCTTTCAGACAACCACTTTCTCATTGCATCCTCACATGCACAGTATAGAGGAGGATGGTGGGGGGAAGGGCTCTCTTCCTCCATTTTTAAAAAAGATTTATTTATTTATTTGTTCATTTGAAAGAGCAACAGAGGGGCCAGTGCTGTGACGCAGTAGGTTAATCCTCCGCCTGCAGTGCCGGCATCCCATATGGGTGCCGGTTCTAGTCCCGGCTACTCTTCTTCCAGTCCAGCTCTCTACTGTGGCATAGGAAAGCAGTATAAGATGGCCCAAGTCCTTGGGCCCCTGCACCCACGTGGGAGACCAGGAAGAAGCACCTGGCTCCTGGCTTCGGATCAGCATAGCTCCGGCTGTTGTGGCCACTGGGGAGTGAACCAACGGAAGGAAGACCTTTCTCTCTGTCTCTCCCTCTCACTGTCTGTAACTCTACCTCTCAAATAAGTAAATAAACCCCCCCCCCTTTTTTTTTTTTTAAAGAAAGAGCAACAGAGAGAGAGAGATTTTCCATCCACTGATTCACTCACCAAATGACTGCAACAGTCACGGCTGGACCATGTGGAAGCCAAGAGCCCAGAACTCCATCTAGGTCTCCTACATGAGTGGCAGGGACCCAAGCACCTGAGCCATCACTGGCTGCCTTCTCAGGCTTGTTAACAGGAAGCTGGATCAGAAGTGGAGCACTCAAGACATGAACTGGCACTCTGATAGGGGACGTCACTGTTGCAAGTATTGGCCTAACTTGCTGTACCACAATGCTGACCCCTCTCTTCCTCTTTTTTAAAGACATCAATTACATCAGATTGGGGCCTTGCCCTTATGACCTCATTTAACTTTTGTTTTCAAAACCTTTATTTTTTTCCCCTTCTATTTAACCTTTATTAAAAGAAGCACTAAGGTGTGGACATGCAGTACATCATGTTTATTACCAAAATTATTAACAAAAATATAAAACTTATATATATGCATTTTCCTTGCATACATTTATTCTCTATAATATTGATTTTTGTTCAAGTAGGTTATCTACAGTATGTAAACATCCTTGGATTGACCTCACACAGATTAGGATATCCCTGTTACCCCTGCTTTGATCAGATACTTCTTTTTACTTGTCGTTTGTAGCATCTAATCTCCACATTTGGCACATGGAAAAGGCATCTACAAGTGCAAAAGAGGCAGGCTTTCTGGTTTCATTCTGAACAATTTTGCAAGGGTACAGTTAAAGAGCTGGGAGGAGCTCATGAGCAGGCCACATTGGTGGTGGTGGATTAGCTGTAAAGCAACTCTTGGTCCAGCCATTGTACTGGAGCACAAAGTCAATGTCTCCCCCCCCCCCCTCTTTCCCATGCAAAGATGATTCAGTTTCGCCTTATCTCAAAAAGAGTTAAAAGAAATTCCATCCATCCCAGACAAATAGGTTAATTTCAGTCAGGAACCATTTTTCTGCTTCTTTTGCGTGGGTTGGTTTTTGTGTTTTGATGATCCAGCAAAACTTTCCATTTAGGAAAATAAAATAAGATTAAAAAATAGATATGAAAGTAGAACTTTCCATCTGCGTTCAGTTACCAACTCTGCGTTTAAGACGAGAGCCTCTTCGTGGTGATAAAGTGAGAAACCTTGAAGAACAGCAAAGAAAGGCCAAGCCTGCCCTAACACCGTGGACCCTAAGCTTCTGAATTACAATATCAAAAAAAATTTTAAAAAAAAACTGGCAGTTGGAGATTATTCCCTCTTCCTGGGTTTCCTTTCGATTACCTAGCGTGACCTAACCAAGTAAAGCTGATCCAGAGACAGCTCTGCTCGCCCACTCACGCCCATCCTCACTCTTTAGCACAGTATTGCTCATGTGATCGGCCGCACCTCGTCTGCGTGGCATCTGCCGGGAACGTCTGCATTTGGTCGCAGGCCTGCCTCCAGGCTTCCGTCACCACAGGGGCGAGACCGTCCAATGCTCCGTACGGCTCCACCAGCTTCCGGAAGCGGGGTCCCCAGTCCGTCAGGAAGTCGAGGCTGTGCGCGGAGTCTGATGTGGCAGACTGCAGGGAGCTTAGTGGCCCCGCCACGGAGCTGTCTGTCTTGAACAGGTATCTGGAGGGAGCTGAAGGGCGGAACCCACAGGTTCATATTGGTTTGGTAGAGCTTGGCCAGTGCACGGCTATGGACAGTGCTGTTGGTGGTGCCGTGTCTGGGGCACGTAGTGGGAGAGGCTCTTGATCTCGGGCAGCACGTCCTGCCGTGTCTTGGGGCCAGTGTCCACCTGCGCTTTACCTGGGTTCCATGTGGCCGGGATGTTGAAGGCATTGGTGTCCTCGCTGCTGCCCTCGTCGTCATAGCTGATGATGATCTCTTCATCGTCGATGGTGTACAGCTGTTTCCGGTGCCGCCTCATGGACAGAATGGGCAGCACCAGAACTAAGAGAACATAGATATAGGCCACGATGGCAATGAGGCCATCACGGGTCACAATGACTGGGAGCAGGTAGGCCTCAGGGCTGCAGGACATGACATGGCCGTCGTCGTCACAGCTGCACACCTGGATGGTAAGTGTGTGCTGCTCAGCGCTGGCGCCCCACTGTCCGCTCTCAAGACTGGCAGGTAAAAGACACTCTGCTATTGCTGCCAGAAACCAGACCGCCTAGGCAGAGTCCGGGCAGTGTTATCTTTTAGGTACTTTATTAGTTACCACAGATCAGGGAGAACATATGGTATCTGTCATTTAGGGATTGGCTTATTTCACTAATTATAATGTTTTCCAGTTGCATCCATTTTGTTGCAAATGACCTGATTTCATTTTTTGCCTCTGTGTAGTGTTCAATGGTGTACATATGCCATAATTTCTTTATCCAGTCTTCAGTTGACGGACATCTGGATTGATTTCATATCTTAGCTGTTGTGAATTGAGCTGCAGTAAACATGGGGGTACAGATAGTTCTTTCATATGCAGATTTCATTTCCTCTGGCCAAGTTTCTAGGAGTGAGATGTCTGGGTCATTTGGTAAGTCTATATTCAAATTTCTAAGGTGTTTCCATATTGTCTTCCACCGTGGCTGCACCAGTTTGCATTCCCACCAACAATGGATTAGGGTACCTTTTTTTCCTGCATCCTGGCCAGCATTTGTTGTTTGTTGATTTCTGTATGAAAGCCATTCTGACTGGGGTGAGGTGAAACCTCATTGTGGTTTTGATTTTCATTTTCCTGATGGCTAGCGATCCTGAGCATTTTCTCAAGTGTACTTTTCATTATAGTGCTAATATTTTATGTAGTAGTTTGGTTAATGTCCGTGTCTTCCAGTAGACAGTGGTGAGATCCTTGAGAAGAGATTTTCTTGTTTCATAATTGTTTCTTCCATAACTGGCAGGAAATTCCTAATTTTACCATGTAAGATGATAAACAGTGGTCACTTAATCAATTTTGTATATAAAAGTAATTATTCATGAATGATTATTTGATATTTCCTGGGAAACAGTGTTATGATGCAAGAATTAATTTTATGAAATAGTGAAGTTTTAAAAGTAACCCATGAGTCTTTAGAGATAAAAAAAGGTTGAAGTAATTTGTATAATTTATTAACATAAGTGTACTTTAAAAAGTTCGAGGAGAAATGGACTTAAAAGACAAATTTATTTTAGGACCAGCTCTGTGGCTCAGTGGGTTAAGCCGCCACCTGCAATGCCAGCATTTCATGTGGACACCAGTTGGAATGCTGGCTCTTCACTTCTGCTCCAGATTCCTGATAATGTACTTGCAAAAGCAGTGGAATATGGTCCAAGTGCTTAGGCCCCTGCCACTCAGATGGGAGACCCAAATGAAGCTTCTGGCTCCTGCTTTGGCCTGGCTCAGTCCCAGCCATTGCGGCCATTTAGGAGTGAGCCATTGGTTGGAAGATCTCTTTTTCTCCATCTCTCCTTGTCTCTGTAACTTTGCCTTTAAAATAAATAAAATAAACCTTTTTTAAAAAAAGAATACTAAAAGATAAATTTATTTGGGTGTAAAAATTTTTGAAATCCAAGCATATTGTTTTCTTCTTTTTTTAAGATTCATTTGTGTATTTGAAAGTCAGAGTTACACAGAGAGAGGAGAGGCAGAGAGAGAGAGAGAGGTCTTCCATCCGATGGTTCACTCCCCAGTTGGCTGCAATGGCTGGAGCTGTGCTGATCCGAAGCCAGGAGCCAAGAGCTTCTTCTGGGTCTCCCACGTGGGTGCAGGGGCCCAAGGACTTGCCCATCTTCTACTGCTTACCAGGCCATAGCAGAGAGCCGGATTGGAAGAGGAACAGCCGAGTCTCAAACCAGCGCCCATATGGGATGCCAGCCCTTCAGGCCAGGGCGTTAACCCGCTGCACCACAGTGCCGGCCCTGCATATTGTTTTCTTAATACATATTTTACATGGACTTTTTGAGAACTCTTCATATAGTACTTGCAGTTCTGGATATTTTGACAAATTTTTCTTTTAGGAAAACTTCAGTTTTTAGGTTGTAATTTAAAATCAGAAAAACATAGACTTTGGTTGGAGAAAATACACTCCTTTGTGCAAATTATAGATTGTGAAGATTGAGTATCTGTTTTTCTGTCTCTATGAGCAAGGTGTCATTTTCCAGATCTCTAGCCCACCCAATCCCACCACTTACATCCTTCAGCTTGCATTTGTCATGTATCTTTTCTAAGTAGTCATTGGAAATGAGAATGGTCTTCATGATTGGCTTAGACTAATTAGAATTGGCCCTTGAACTTAGAGATGGAGCCAGACTCCTCTGAATTATTTGGTCATGTGGAAGATGTGGGTGTCTGAATAAATCAAGGCACTGTTGTTAGGAATAGATGTGTGTGACAAACAGTAATATCTGCTAAATATTCTATTTCCACAACAAAGTTTACTCGCTGTGACCTTTGAAAGCTGAAAAATCCAATACTGAAGGAGAGTTGCTACACATGGGTCATAAGTGCCAGGTAGGGGAGAGTTATGTGGCAGAAAAGTGGAATGAAGAGCATGGGAGTGGTGAAACCCAGCTAGAGGCAGGCTGGGTAGGGATTCAGGCAGAGATGGGGTCACGAAGTGGATCCTAGAGGGAGGAGAACTCACTTGAAAGGACAACTTGGTAGGCTGCAAATTTTGCCTTGGGCCATCAAATTCAAATGCTTGTATAGCTCATATATAACCCAGCAGCCCGAGGCCATTGCAGCACAGATATAAGTTGAGGGTCAGGACTATAAGCTGTTTCTGAAAATAATTAAGTCAGGGGGGAATCTCACCTCTCTAGACATTTATGGAGTCTTACTGCACAAGGGATTGCATACATATTTGGGGGTGAGGAGTAGAATTACCAGATACTTTGCAGGGCCCAGTGCAAATTGAAACTTTAGGACTCCTTGTTAAAAATTTGTTAGGAATTTGAAGATTTTGAAAGCTTTTGTGCTAAATGCAGGGTCTTTCTAAGCATGGGACTGTCTGACCACACAGGTCACATGCCCAGGGAGCCACTTCTCATGGAGAATGTTGATCTCTGTAGTGTCTGAAAAGGCACCAAGTGGTAAGTGGTTTCCACAATCCTTTTTTTTTTTTTTTGACAGGCAGAGTGGACAGTGAGAGAGAGAGACAGAGAGAAAGGTCTTCCTTTTATGCCGTTGGTTCACCCTCCAGTGGCCGCCCCGGCCGGCGCGCTGCAGCCGGCGCACCGCGCTGATCGGAAGGCAGGAGCCAGGTGCTTCTCCTGGTCTCCCATGGGGTGCAGGGCCCAAGGACTTGGGCCATCCTCCACTGCACTCCCTGGCCACAGCAGAGAGCTGGCCTGGAAGAGGGGCAACCGGGACAGAATCCAGCGCCCTGACCAGGACTAGAACCCGGTGTTCCGGCGCCACAAGGCAGAGGATTAGCCTAATGAGCCACGGCGCCGGCCCACAATCCTTTTAATGAAGCGTCATAAATATTTGATATGGCAGTCCCACTGCAACCATGTTACATCAACTAGAGTGCAGTATCAGCACAGCACAGGGAATCGGAAGAAACGGTTCCTAGGTCCAGTTCCGCAATTGAGAACAAGTTACTTAACTTTTTCAAATATTGGTTTGCTCACTCGTTAGAACTCGTACAAGTCAGCAATTTTCAAATCTTTCTTTTTAAAGTAGTAAACCTCCCTTTCCATCAGAAATCTTAATTATGGATTTTTCTGTCTCCACCAAATTCATGTGATAGTCACCCTTATGAATGGGATTAGTGCCCTTTCAAGATGTTGAGGGACCAAAGTTCTTCCCTTCTACCAAATCAAGACAGCAAAAATATGGCCACCTATGAATTAAGAAGTGGATCCTTACCAGATACTAAATCTGTCAGTGCCTTGTTGTTGGACTTCTCACCTTCTGTAACTGGGAAAAATTTTTGTTGTTTAAGTCACCTGGTTAATGGTGTTTTGTAATAACAGGCCAAATGAATCAAGACAGAATCTTTTTTTTTTTTTTTTTTTTTGGACAGGCAGAGTGGACAGTGAGAGAGAGAGACAGAGAGAAAGTCTTCCTTTGCCTTTGGTTCACCCTCCAATGGCCGCCGCGGCCAGCACTGCGCTGATCCGATGGCAGGAGCCAGGTACTTATCCTGGTCTCCCATGTGGTGCAGGACCCAAGGACGTGGGCTATCCTCCACTGCACTTCCTGGCCACAGCAGAGAGCTGGCCTGGAAGAGGGGCAACCAGGACAGAATCCGGCGCCCTGACCGGGACTAGAACCCGGTGTGCCTGCGCTGCAAGGTGGAGGATTAGCCTAGTGAGCCGCGGCGCCGGCCAAGACAGAATCTTAAATACAAAACAGATAAAAGAGAAATTTCTTGGAGTAAATTCTCTTTTCTGATAGAAACAGCATCTGAATTCCATGGAATAATGAGACCCATCTGTTTGGATCAAGGTTGCAAACTTCAGACTTCTGGTCAAATCTAGCTTTTGCCTGTATTTTTGCATAAACTTTTGTTGAAACAACACACTCATTTGTTTACATATCATCTCTGTCTTCTTTTGCTCCACAGTGTTAGAATTGAATAATCTTGATAGAACCTTTGTGGCCGCCAAAGGCTAAAATATTTACTATTTGGTCCTTCACAGAGAAAGTTTGCCACCTTCTGATCTTGATGATTTATTCTGATGATTCTGGCAAGATGGCAAAGAGAAGGCATGAAGGTTTCCAGACATGGAGGAATGGGCATGTTAATAAGGCAGGAAGTTAGATATCATCCAACAAGCTAGAGGCCCAGTTAGTGGAACTGTTGTATGGCTGTGGATTTAGACAATGAAATAAGACCAAACCCAGTTGCCAAGATAGAGATGCAAGGCTGAATTGAGAAAAGTAGGAAGTTTGCCTAGATGAGAACTTACCTGAGTATGGATGATTCTTGCAGTTTTTCCCAAGAGTGGTCTAAAATCCAGAATCCCTTAGGGAAATGGAGTTGGGAAATATAGAAGTACTGGCACAGGAACCAGTACTTCTGGTGGGCTTTCACAAAACTGTAGGGATGAGAAATAATGTCTCGGCAAGAGCATGAAAAGGAAACACTCATGTTGGTAGTAAATTGACTAAAGAAAATAAACAGAAGGGAAGAAACCGAGAGGATAGAGTAGTAATTAAAATAAAGCAAAAACATGTTTCCTGTGGATCAGTGATAGGCACTATAAAATGACTAGGGTTACAAAGATGCACAAGTCATTCTTTGACCTTAAGGAGTATATATAGATGTCTTAAAGTACAACCATGCTGGAATGTAATCCTGTGCCTTTGAGGCTCCCTATGGTCATTTCAAAAGTAGAGATCCTATGATACATCTCCATACCTACTGAATCTGAGTTTCTGCAACTGGGGCTTGGGCAAATTTATGGGCTAACTTAAAACCCCACTTACAGATTCATGTATTGGAGCCCTAAAAACCCAATACCTCGGAAAGTTACTATATTTGGAGAGAGCACCACTTAAAGAAGTTTAAGTTAAAATGAGTCAATAGGATGGGCTCCAATCCAATCTGACTGGTGTCCTTATATAATGAGGAAATTTGGCCTCACAGAAAGTTACCAGAGATGCACATGCACAGAGGGATGACGATGAGAGGGCACAGAGAAGAGGGGGCTACCTGCAAGCAAGCAGGGGGTACCTCCGGAGAAACTAAACATGTTCAAACTTTGATCTTGAAGGTCTAGTGTCCAGAACTGTGAGAAAATATCTTTCTGTTGTTTAAGCCTTTCAGTCTGCATTATTATGTTGTGGCAGCCTGTCATGGTTAATTTAAGAGTCAATTTGACTGTATTAAGGAATACCTAGAAACCTAGAAAAACATAATTTTGGGTCTGTTGACAATGATGTTTCCAAAAGAAATTAGCTTGTGAGTCTGAGCTGACCAGGTGGGAAGACTGGCCTCAATGAAGGTGGATACCATCAATTGACTGGGTCTGTAGAGAATCTGAAAGGTGAATTGGCCTCTCTCTGAGAGTTGGGGCACTCTTGATCATCAGAACTCCAGGCTTACTGGCCATTGGACGCTGGGATGTAAGCCAGTGGTTTTGTTGCTGGTACTCAGGATTTTGGCCTTGAACTAGGAATTATACTCTCAGCTTCCCTGGTTCTGAGGCCTTCAGATTTGGATTAAGCCATGCTAATAGCATACCAGGGTCTCTAGCCAGCAGTTAACTTGTCATTAGAGTTGTCACTTGCCACAATTATGTGAGCCAGTTCCCCCAAAATGTCCCCTTTCATATATCAAAACACACATTCTATCAACTTTTCCCTCTATAGAACACTGGCAATATACAGTCCTAGCAAATGAATACATCATGTGTGAATTTAAACATACATGTAAATGACTCTGATATACTTGATTGAGAACCATTTGGTTAGAGTTAAGATGCAGACCCAAGGGAAAAGTATAGGAAATTCTGCCTTAGACATCAAAAAGAATAATGAACTTGGTGTTGCCTGTGAGGGCTCCCCATGCCTATTATTTTGGTTTGTCGTCCTGAAGCAGCTGTGTTGGTACTAAGCCCCCTACTGGCTATGAGAAATACTTCACTTGCTACCTTGGTACTGCTTTGTTTCTGGTTGAGTTAAGATTGTCCCACATAATTTTTCTTGGAAATTCTTGCTCTCAAACAATTGGAGCTGGCATGTTTTCCCCTGTTATGTGCTCTTTGTCTCATAAACATTTTGTCATGTTGGAAGCTGTGCAAGAGACAAATGCCAAAGAACGGAGGCTTTTCTTACTGTTAAATGAATTATTTGTATTTTTATTTTTAAAAATATTTATTTATTTACTTGAAAGGCAGAGTTATACACAGAGAGAGAAAGAGACAGAGACAGAGAGAGAGAGAGAGAGAGAGAGAGAGAATATCTTCCATCTGCTGGTTCATTCCCCAAATGACTGCAAGGGCCAGACCAAAGCTAGAAGCCAGGAATTCCTTCTGGATCGCTCATGTGGATGGCAGAGGACCAAGTGCTTGAACCATCTTCTGCTGCTTTCTTAGATACATTATCAGGGAGCTGGATTGGAATTGGAGCAGCCTAGACTTGAACTAGTGTTTATATGGGATGCTAGTGTCACAGATGGCAACTTGATCTGCTGCACCACAATACTGGGCCTGAACTATTTTTAAACCAGACAAAATAAAGACCATTTTTTGATGAAGCAATCTCATTGCTATCCATGACTTGTTGCTGCAATTCTGTTTCTGGAAGAGTTGCAGCATCAGTCAATTTCAATGAAGTGGATATGAAGCATATTTGACTCTAATGAAGGAAGATTCATTTCCTAGCAATCTTTATTTGACCAAAAACAGTAAGGTTTGAATATGTTAGTCTTTATGCAGAGAATATTAATGTGTTCCTTATTTTTCCTGGTAGAATTGAATCAAAACAGGTTTTGACAAAGCAGTCAACTGAATCAAAATTTGAGGTCACCTTGACTCCTGCCTTTTATTACTTAAAGTGGCATATATTCAGTTAAAATAAAATTCGAATAGCCTGTTTTCTCACTGGTTCTAATAGAAAAGATCCTGAACTCAACCATTTAATTAAACACTTCTCACTTCTTTTTAAAGAAGAAATTATCTGTTAAGCACTAGATTTCAAAAGTGACATCAGAAACAGGGTGGAACAGGAGATATCCACCTTCACTCACTCACAGAAAACAAAAACCAGACAACTCTCCACAAACAGAAATAGCTCTAAAGAACTCACATGGCAAAACAGTGGAACAACCTGAGGATAACTGCACAACACGGGTAGGAAGAACAGTTTCATTTGTCCTGTAGTTCCCCTAGCGGGGAAAAGGGATGGCCAGTGTTCTTAGCCTTTTACAGTCAAGGATCTGCTTTGGTATCACCCAACCCAAGTCAACCCACATCACTGGGGAGACCATGACAGCTGAGACATCTGATGGCTGAAAACAAAGAATGCATGCACTGTCAGTATTATCCATTTGGTATATGCCGCTGTGTTCTCAGTGGCTTGATCTCCGGCTTTCACCACTGTAGGATTTCAACAGCTCTTGTGTTGTTACTCCCCCTTACCTGCAAATGTTTCAGGACTCCACGGTGCTTGCCACTGTGGATACTAGAGCTCTTCTCCGCAGAGGATGCCAGAATCTTTTATCTCTAGGAGCTGCAGATTTTCACTTTGATGGTATCCAGCCACCTGAGCTGCCATCCTTCTTCCTCGCTTTCTCTTCAGAAATTCCCTGGCTCATGTCACTGTGGGTATTTCTGCTCCAGGAACAAACATGGACATTGCATGTGTATGCTTGCAAGTGACCTGGGCCTTTGTCACAAGCCCTGACTTCCAACACTGCACATGTGCCCATGGCTAATCCTGTGACAGTTTATGTACACAACTGACCTGCATTCCACAGTCAGCCTCCATTTCCCTGGGGTACCTGCAGCTGATCCCTAGAGCCACATGCATACACATGCTACCAGCCTTGCCTCTTGTAGCAGTGTGCATTCATTCAAACAGTCCTGACTCCTGTTGCTACCCCCCACCAGCATACTTACCCTTAGCTGATCCCTGCAGTTGAGCTTGTGCCTATCACCAGCCGAACCCCTGTAGCCATGCGTGTACTTTTAGCTGGTTTCTGCAGTCAAGCACATTCACACTGCTGATCTCTGTCCACCACTGTTGACCTTAAGTCTTAGCAAATTTGAGGAGATTGAAATTACATCAGGCACCTTCTGTTATCACTATAATATGGAACAAGAATCATCAATACAAGGAAAATGGAAAAATTCACAAGTATGTGGAAATTGAACAGCACCCTCCTGAACAACCAATGAGTCAAAGGATAAATCCAAGTGGAAATAAAAAAAATCTTGGTATAAAATGAAAATGGAAATATAACATGAAATTTATATGATGCAGTAAAAGCAGTTCTAAGAAGGATGTTTATAATGATAGGTACTTACGGTAGGAAGAAAGATCTCAAATAATTTCATATTTCAAGGAACTAGAAAAAGAATAAACTAATCCCAGAGTAAAACTCAGAGGACAAACAAATGAAACAGAGACTAGAAAATATCTTAGCCAACTTTTCATTCCTATGATGGAATACTGAGGCAGCTAACTTAAAAGAGAAAAGATTTATTTGGTTTCCTGGAAATTCACAATCCAAAATCAGACATTTTCCATTGGTTCAGCCTCTGGTGATAATAATCGTGCTGGTAGAGTTCCAAGGTGGTGCTTAAAGATCATATGGCAAGTGACAGAGAACATGTATTCCTGTGGTCCCTTACAGAACCATCAGAATTCAATCATAGAGGTTACACCCTAAAACCCAACCTAATCCAATCGCCTGCCAATGGCCTGACCTCCGAACACCATAAAATAGACTAAATTTTCACCCTCTTAGTACCATTAACATGAGATTATGAGGACCAAACTTCTGAGTTTGGGGGGACAAATTCAAACCATTAATATAGAATACAAAAATCTATAGGAATGAAATCGACCTCTTGAGATTTGATTATTGTTTCTTTTCTTAAAAATTTATTTGACAGATAGATTTAGACAGTGTGTGAGAGAGAAACAGAGAGAAAAGTCTTCCTTCCATTGGTTCACCCCCCAAATGGCTGTTACGGTGGGAGCTACGCCATTCCGTAGCCAGGAGCCAGATGCTTCCTCCTGGTCTCCCATGTGGGTGCAGGGGCCCAAGCACCTGGGCCATCCTCCACTGCCCTCCTGGGCCGCAGCAGAGAGCTGGACTGGAAGAGGAGCAACCGGGACTAGAACCTGGTACCCACATGGGATACCGGTGCCGCAGGTGGAGTATTAACCAAGTGAACCACAGCGCGGGCCCCTGATTATTGTTTCTAACCTTTTTTTTTTTTTTTTTTTCCACGCAGAGTGGACAGTGAGAGGGAGAGAGAGACAGAGAGAAAGGTCTTCTTTGCCGTTGGTTCACCCTCCAATGGCCACAGCGGCTGGCGCACCGCGCTGATCCGAAGCCAGGAGCCAGGTGCTTATCCTCGTCTCCCATGGGGTTCAGGACCCTAGCACTTGGGCCATCCTCCACTGCACTCCCGGGCC